AAAAAAAATTACATACATCACAACCTATCAAAATATGTCTATGATATAAAAATAAAAATAATATTTGATTTAATTTCAATCTAAATTTAATTTTGAGAAATATGTTGAATGATATAATATTAAAAACTATGATTATAAATTATAATTAATCATAAGTTCGTCTATTATTATTAAACATTATTATTACACTTATATCCAGTTGTCTTCAACCATCTTGAACTCATGACCTATATTTAATTTATTGTTTTTTTTTTTTTAGATTTGTGTTAAAAACTAAATAATTTTGATTTTCGAGCCAACTTTTTACACAGAAACTTAAAAAACTTATTTGGTTTTATAACTGTTACCATCATTTCTTAAGACCTATTAAAATTTTGAGTGTAGACAGATTCGTTAGTGGGTATTATTCCGATTCTATGGTAAAATATGTTTAGAATATATAAGATACTTGAAGTCTTCAAGTTGAAGATACAGCCCTCCTTATAATTTTTAATGATAAACAGGGTGGTAAGTACTTCACTACGTCGATGAGTTTCTTGCTAAATATTGGTTTTCGTTTGAACTTATATCATACAAGTTTAGGGTGTTTCAAACGTGACAAATGGGTCCACATTAAACAGCTAAGGATATCTTGACGTTKTGATGCTGAAGAGCGCCTAATATTACACTTTGCACCAGGCCCGTTTGATGATGGTCCGTTTGTAATGTTCTTTAAAAACTACGATGATAAAAGAAGTGAAAGTGATGAGTCACTTTTAGAACAGCTATAACTACGTCTTTGCCTGTTTGAACTTCTACAAGTGTGAATAAAAATATGTGTTCGCCAAACAATATAAATTYGCAACCCATGTTWTATAATGAATAAAGTAAATAGGAAGATGATTGATAATTGATCAATGATTGTCGTTTCGTTGGAGCTTAAGGTAGCAATTATCTACAGAGCTACTAGAACCGTTCAATGTGCTACAACATTGATGATTCACTTATAAAATTGTTGGGAGAGTAAGTAGTTGTGTGGTACTTCTAACTCAAATAAAATGGAAACGTAGTAATGAATGATATAGAGAAATTCGACATTGCGAAAGCAACTATCGCAAAATCAATCGGAAACTAATTTAATAATTAGTATYAACGTATCTACGTGTCGGCTTACCAAAAAGTCAGATGCGATTGTATATAAACTACCATTCACATATTTCGTTAAAATGTAACATTAATTTATTAATCAGTTAAAAAACAAATAAATTAAAAACAAATTATTATACAAACGTTCCATACACATACGATTTCGTAGTAAGCGTAGTTGAGTTGACCCACGGTGGAAAGCTTTTAATATTGACGACGATAAATAATGAATAAAATTTGACACATCCCCGCTTTGTCGCACGTACCTATCGGATCTAGGTATAGTATTATTAGTACAGTTCACACACATACACTCACTGAATTTCTGTGGTCGAATTACTTTTACACYGTCACTGTATGTCTATGCAATACTACAATAAGTCAAAGGATAGTACGGTGGTTATTATTGTGTCGATGAGACGGGAACCAGCTGATCTCCATGCTACCCTTCCTGGACCGGAACATGGAATACGCGTTGTTCATTAATGCGTGGCTGGCCTCCTTCAGGGTAGTGCTCCAATTTACCACCTTCGTCCTGCTTCTAGTTCTTGCCCTGTCGTTATCATCAAACCACGTAATCCGGTATAGAATGTCAGATTGACTCGAGTTGRTGAAATTTTGGTCGGGTTCTGATGTCGAGTGTCGGCCACTCCATTTGCGGTCCACCATGAATAGTCCCGCCTGGATCCGTGACCGCGTCGTCCGTGACAACAGCACCCAAATCATGCCGTACGTAGACTGGACCAAGTATGTCCGGCTTCGGTATTTTTTTATWTCTTTAACGTCGGTCACCATCAGCCGATTCGTCTGAAAGGACACGGGAAAATGTTTTTTACGGATAGCATAATATTATTATTAATCATATTGTTTATAGTTTACGAATTATAATGACATAATTATTATTATTATGTCACAATTCAAAAATCCATTGAAAAAAATATGTTCTAAAATAGACATAAAAACAAAAAGTCAATATTTCGTCTCAACAGATGATTTCCCATCTGTCACTAAATTGTAGGGCAGTATTCAGGTGAATTGGCTTCTGGTGGGGTCTTGTGTTTTGTTGAGGTCACAGATATATACAAAAACTTTATAGTTAAATGATTATATCTGATGCTCTATGACTAAAAAACCGAAAGCCATAAGCTATATGTTATTATATAATATATAATATGTGATTGAGGAATAATAATCATAGAGCTTCAGCATGGTTATACAATTTACAGCCATGGTATACAGGGTGATTCTTTTATCAAACAACACTCATTATTTGAAAAAGTATTGACTTTTTTCAAAATATTTTTTTACATAGTTTCAAGTTGTTAATAAACCAACGCTTTTATAAAAAATTATATTTTTAAATATTTTTTATCCTTATCATTTTTTAAGTTTT